CCCTTTCTCATCTTGTTTACTCGCCACTGACTAGGTGACACTAGTCGTCTTGTTTACTCGCCACTGACTAGGTGACACTAGTCATCTTGTTTACTCGCCGTTGACTAGAAGACACTGCAGATGAGACAATGGCTGACTGTTGTCACAGATTTGTAACGGTTAGGGGAAATGTTGTCATCAGCATATTTCTTCTTAGAGAAGCTTTCTGCCATGGTTACTTAAGAAGTTCCCACATGTCATGGAAAGTTAAGATGATTCTAGACCAGCAGGCATTATCATGGCCACATGCTAGGTGTTTCCTCTGACTTTGTACCTTTGTGTACTTTTGAAAGTGCTCACCTCCCTGATAGTGTGGGGCATGTTTGATGTAGCAGAGAGACCCAGTGGGCTGAATACCCTGGAATACTCACAAACCCATTGTTAAAATTACAATGGAACACATATAACATAAACATTACCATGTTTAAAAGATTCGTTTATTAATTTATTTATTTTGTATGTGTGGGTGCCTGCAGGAGTTTATGTGCACCACATGGGTGTAGATAATCTCAGAGGCCAGAAGAGGGCATTGCATCTACTGGAACTAGAGTTATAGATGGTTTATGTAATGAGGCGCTGGGAACTGAACCAGGTTATCTGCAAGAGCAGTTTGTGCTTTTAACCACTGAACCATCTCTCCATCCTCCACAGCTATCATCTTAGCCACTTTAAGTGTACAGCTCAGAGATATTGAGAGATTTTACAGTGGTACAGCCATGCGTACCTGCTATCCTCAGAGTACTTCCATTCTGACAGACTTTCCCTGTCTGCTTCACTATTTGACTTTGTTATAAAGCAGTCAACCTTATTTGTTTGTTTGTTTGTTTTGGTGGGAACGCTGGGTATGAATACAGGCTATTGTACATGTTATGCCAGTGCCTAACACTGAGTTGAATCTCCAGGGAAACCTTCATTCTTTTTGTTTATCTCTTCTTTTATGGACAAACCCTTGAGGTGTTTCTACCTTCCATCATTGTCAGTAATGCTGCTGATGCAAACATGTGCATGCAAATATATCTCAGGGGCCCTGCCTTCTGGTCATTGAGATACAGATTCTGAATCAAAATTTCTGGATCATAGAGTTATCCTGTGCTCGAGACTTTCAAGATGTAAGGGACCATTTCTGTCAGATGCCCATCACAGTCTTCCATTCTCATTGGCAGGGGAGTCATTTTTCTGCTTTTTCCTTCATTTTCGATGTCTACTTGAACTGTTCACTACCTCCATAGGTAGAGCGACAACCCTGGCCAGCCCTAGCCCACCCACAGTTTCCAGTCACACCAGACAATGGATTTGGTGCTTATATCTTTTGGAATCTCATTTTGTATTCTGTGGTCATCACATGTTCGGATGAAGGATTGAATTTATAAAATAGCTGTTGTGTGGAGACTGATTACTGCAATTGACTTACTTCATCCCAAAGAGTCTTTAGGTTTCATGTCACCCAGAGTATGTAATGGTACTTTGGGCTGCAGAGAACCTCCCGTGGGGTTCAAGTTGGGGTGGGCTAGAGCAAGACCTGGGGACTGCACTCAGGAGGCCCTGCATATTGATAGCTGATCCAAGAAGAGCAGCTCAGATTTTCCTTTGTTAAGGAGCATCCAAATCTGGGCTGATGACACCTGCCTTCTCTCAGGTGGGCTGCAGACTCGGAGGCTGCTGGGAGAAACAGTGTCTCCCCCACCCTTCGAAGTGATCTTCATAATGAGCCCCAATCTCAGCAGCTACTGGTGTTTACCATTTTCCAAATGGAATTCAGGTGCTCCACTCACTTCCTTCCAATCTTGAGCTCCGGCTGTGGAGTTAACGTGATCCTGAAAGGGTGAATTTGGACAATCGCAGCTTGGCCATTTTGAGCACATATGCTAGAACTAAGTCTTTTTGGCTCAGCTGTAGCTCGAATCTAATGAAAATGACAGATAATGCAGCGCTCTGCGTGCCTGCCAAAAAAGAGGATATTTCCCATGAGATAGCACCTGGTGATGCAGAAATAGACACTATAGATTTGTGATTGGCTGCTGCGTACGCGCATTCATATCTAGTCCGTATTATCAACCACACAAGATCAGATCCCGGATAATAACAGCAACAATGACATGCATAAAAATTACTGCAGAGAGAGGAGGAGAAAAAAAAAACCCGTCTCAATTATATCAATTATGCCCCCATCCTTCCCCACCCCTCCCGATTTTACCCCAGTGAAAAGGTGGCACCTAGTTCTGATCTAATTATTTGCAAGTTTATTCGTGGGTCCTTGCCTCCCCCTCCCATTCTTGTCTTCTTCACTCAGATATAAAAGGACTCTTTTAGAAACACACTGTGGACCTCAATGTGCCTACATACATATGTGACTTACATTTTAGTGGCTTACAAATCAGTTACTTGAAAGTCGAGGGGAAATGCCTGTGTGCTCTAGAGGAGAGACGGTGGGCTTTGCAGGGATGACCTCTTACCTAGGAACCAAAACGCCATTGGTCTCGAAAAGTGACATAAATTAAGTTGCAATTTGAGCCCTGATTCTAGCAAAAGCCCCCAGATTTCCAAGGTGTCTTTAATGACTGCTCTGTGACAGTGAAGTTTTTGTTACCAGACTGCCTCTGAACAGACACACGCGAATGTAGAACATGGGAACACACTTGCTATTTTCCCTTCTTCTGACCCCTTTTCCTGTTTTTTTTTTTTTTTCTCTTTTTAAACACCCCTGCTAGAGGCACCTTCTTAGTCCTTTCTTTCAGAAAGGCACAAACACTCTCAAACCAGACCCAACAAACATTACCACAGCCCAAGTTCAAGTTCTGCTAGTTTCTCTAGGGTCTGGAGATGAAGCTGGTCCTTGCCCCCAGACCTCCATCACACCATCTTTACAAGGGTGCTTGAGAGAGATCCTGTGTTGACCCCTTCAAGCTCTGAGATTTGAAGAGAGTTTTCTCTAGGCTAGCTAAAGCAGAAGGTGATTTTGAGAGAGAAATACAAAATCATTTGAACAGATCAGTAAATTTGATAATGAATTGTTTCAATTAGATTCATGTGGCAGCAGATGTTAAATTACTTCAGCAGAACCAAGCTTACAGGTTTGCGGTTTCTCTTCCGATTTAAATACACAGATACAAAGGGCTAAATTCCATTTCCAGGCCTACTTCTGAAGACGTTCCTACCACACTGAGTCCAGACCTCACTTCAGTGGGAGAGAGATGGAGGCACAGCATTCTGCTTCCAGATTCACCCCAGAGCATAGAGTTTGCTTTGCTAGAGCCTGCCCCACTTGGTATAGTGATCTCCTGTCTATCCATGACAAAGTGACTTGTTTCTGGCCCTAAAACGCGTCGTGCTTCTTTGAATCCCCACTTACTATTCCCTGACTTGGAAATATAGATTTCAGTGGCATTGATGTTGGGCACAAGCAGTTGACCTTACTCACATATGCCGTTTGCATACATAGATTTACCTAACTGCAGATTGGAAATACTAAAAACAAACAGGGGTCTACCAGATGGCTTAACAAATAGGGTTCCTGCCACCAAGACTGGTGACCTGAGTTCAACTCCAGAGCACACATGGTACATAGAGATAACCCAATCATGAGCATGCATGAGCACATACTCACAAATACACACTAAATAAATAAATAAATAACCAAATAAATAAAATGTAAGAAATATTCAAACGTAATGTACTTGTTTTGAACATGTCCACACATCTATCTTTTCCTTGTCATGTTCTGTAAACAACATAGTGTAACAACCATTTACCAGGAGTTCATTTACATTGCATTAGATGTGAGACATCATCTGGAGGGCATTTGAAATCTAGGGGAGGGTGTGTATGGATTACACATAAACATTCAACCATTCTGTATAAGAAATTTGGGCCTCAAAGGATTTGGGAAGGGTGGGGAACCTGAAACTGATCCTCAGGGACACTGAAGGACAACTCTGATGTTTTTTCTTGTTCTTTTGATTTTGTAGCATTGATGGGGAGCTAACTAGGGTCCTTGTGTATGCTAATAAGCAATTACTCTGCCCTTGAGCTACATCCTGGCCCCTATAATGCATTTTCATCTGTTTATTGAGAACAGATCTCTCCAAGCAATCCAGGCTGACTCCAAATTTACCATCTTCCTGCCTCTGCCGCCTGAATGCTGGGGTTATAGGTGTGCCTGGTTTTATTATGCATTTTTGAAGCTGTGGCCACTAATAAACCTTCAGGTTGTGAGTTCCTGTGGGCCTGGATTCCTATGTACAGTTGGGACCTGTCTTCTGGGAAGCTGGAGATGAGGACAGCCTGTGTTAAAGTGGGAAGGGATGGTAAGGATTCCAGTTAGCAAGTGGGCTCAAGCTCCTCAGGCAGCTGACCCAGACAGGGTTCCAAGAGACCATGAACTTGACCCACTCCTGCAAGGGTCATGCCATCCATCGCACTGTCCCCAGGTGAGTCTGAATGCTAGGGTACACAGGATAGAGAAAATGTATCTAGGTCCCCAGGATGCATCTCTCCCATCTTTGACCCATAAAGTCTGGCTAGAACAGATTCTCCACAACAGCCACTTCCTACAGGGGCCTAGCACAGATCTAGCCCATCCCCACTCCGGCTCCCTGGCAGGTCCACTCCTTCATTTCTCCTGTCGCCAGCTACACCAAGCCCACGGAGCTCCTGACACAACTGTCTCTTTAAGAACTTATCTCATATTTTCAGAAATTGACTGTGAAAATTCTAAGTGATGGTGCGACATGATCACACTCACTTTCTGTAGTTAATCCTTCACGAGGGTCAGGCGCCCCTCTCTTCTCAGTGGCTCATTTGATTGTCACCTACCTTGCACAAAACCTCCCAGCCCCGAGCACTGTCTGCTGGGTTGACAGGCAGGCAGAGTGCTGAACGCGGTGCAGGAATAACTGAATTAGAGAAAAGCTGCTGGCACTGTAATAAAGCGTTTAATGGACAGACAGCCTCTCTTGCCTTCCTTGGGGTAACACTAAATCCCTTTTTATTGTAGTTTGCACAGATGTTAGTGAGTTATCCATTTCTCTAATCATACTAGAAGTTGGCACATCCATCTTAAATAAGAAGACCAGCCCACTCGCTTTTACGGAGTCCCTTTTTCTAATAAACTTGTGTCAGTTTCAGGTCAGTTTTACCAATACAAATAAAATTCAAACAAATAAAAAGTATATTGTCTCATGATGAGATTTATATAATGATGTCCCTTAGCTCACTTTAAATTTACACAGGGAGTTACACCCTGCAGAGCCCTTATTAGGGCCTGGATTTTCCTCCCACTTGGGGACACACACTCTCAGAGTTTAGGACACTGCATCACACAGGGTCACAGTGGATCCTCTGGCACAGAACAGCCCTTGTTGACATTCTGATGCAAGCTGGGCTGTCTGGGGTCTTCTCTGAACCATCTCTGGGGAGGTCGCAGGGTCACAGGTGACAGGTGACAGGCGACAGCGTTGTGATTGGGGAGAGGGCAGGGTGGGGAGGGCAGGGTAGGGAGTGGTGAGGTTTACTGCCTCGCCAAGTCAGTGCTGTACTCTTGTCACAATGGATGGACCACCCAAAGATCTTTCTGGAAAAGAAAAATTTGCATTTGTCCCTGTGTTTGTGAAAGGGAGAATGGAGGGGGTGTTGAAAAGAATCCTACCCACCAAGGTGCTCCCAACTGCAACTTCTGTGGAACTGGAAAGGTCACCTGAAGTTCAGGCCAGGATAAATAATTGCTGTGGCGAGGGGTTCCTTTTTTCCTTCTACGGAGCTGATGGGTTCGCAGCGGTAGCTGAATCTTGATAGATTGGCAGCCGCTGAAAGGAAATGCTTAGCGGTGACCGGGGCAGGGCTGCACTTCAGCTCTGGGGGCAAAGGGTGGGAAGCTGAGGTCCCAGGGCTGGGAGGACCACAGAGGCCAGATGACAAAGCTCCCTCTGTCCCTGCACAGAATGAGAGTGAAGGCAGGCCAGCATGGCCTCCTGGACGGGCTCCAAGGGTGGACTCTCCAAAGCCACCGAGGCCCCGTGGCTGCTGCCTCACATTTGTGCAACAGAACGACTGCTCTCTGGGGTCTCCCCCTGCCAGGGAGAAGGGCTGTCTCTGTTGTGTTTCCTGGTCCAACTGGCCACTTTATAAATCAAAGACGATGGGCCATATGTTAACTATTTGATGTCCTGTTGCAAAGAGGGAAATCAGATTAGCAATCCCTTGGGCAGGGGATGCAGAGAGCTTGGGAGCAATGGGAGCTGCCCCTCACACTGTGACAGTTTCTAGGACAATAACCTCCATCCACATGAGACCCTTACATCTCTGGTTTTGCTTGTTCACAATGTCCATCACTGTGGCGCTGAGGCCCAGAGTGACTTGATGGAGTTCCATGTGGAAAGGAACTGGAAAAGGTTTGTTTGTTTTTTCCTTTGATGATTTCAGTCATTTTCACCCCCGTTCTTCTCCCTCATCCCCTACTTCTGGAGCCCCCTCCCACTTCCACATCTTGTGCATGTGTGTGTGTGTGTGTGTGTGTGTGTGTGTGTGTGTGTGTGTGTCTGAGTTTAACGTGAGTTACTTGCTCCAGTAGATAGGAGCTTATTTAGAGACACAGTGGCAACTTGCCATGTCTACACCACTAAAGAAATGACACCCCACCCTCAACAGACCAGTGGCAGGTATGGGATACCTTTCTATGAGATGCCAACCCAGAAGTCCTCAGAGAACCCCAAGACAGTATAGGTTATTGCCACAGTCTGCCAGAATTCAATGATGAAACGCTATTGCTGAAGGCACTACACACTTTAGTCACAGGAGCTGAAATCTTACACCACCACAGGAGGCTCTGACTCTAGACCGGTGCCTAGGAATACCTCCATTTCTTCATCCACTCACTCACTCAGCTTATTATTCAACAACTATGCATAGGGTCCTTCTTGTGCACCTATGTTGTGGGCAGTTGGGAACACAGACAAGTGTCTTGGGCTTGAGCACTCATGAATTCTACCCTTTCTCTGTTTGGTTAATGACTAACTATTTACTATTACCTACCTGATGTCTTCACCCTTTCAGCTGTTCTTGTTGGCTGCCTCCTAGAGGGCTAGTGGGGCAGTGGTTTCCCAGTGGTTGAAATTACCAACTACGGTGGGCTCCAGCTTCTGTGCACTGTAGTGTTGATATTCTGTGTCAGTTGCTGTGGATATTGCTCTATATATAAATAAAACACTGATGGCCAGTGACCAGGCAGGAAGTAGGTTGCCAGGCAGGAAGTAGGTGGGACAAGGAGAGAGGAGAATTCTGGGAAGCGGAAGGCTGAGGAGAGAGACTGCAGCCACGGCCAGGACAAGCAACATGTGAAGACGCTGGGAAGCCACCAGCCACGTGGCAAGGT